TGCATTTCAACATAAATGGAAGACCCACACCAGCCATAGAAGCTTTGTGCTTCTGTACAGGTATGTTTTCAAAACCAAAGGCCATTGTTAGAAGAGGAAAAAGCATTAAAAGCTAAACAGACCTTCCTTTCACTTTCTAAATATGTTTTCCTGTGAATGTCAGGCTCTCCAGAACATAACTGGGCGAGTGGAGAAGAGAATCTAAGCTTTTACACTCTATAAAATGGAAAACTCTTTTGGCTTTTCTGCAAGCATGAACTAAATGCTCGAGAAGCAGCTGCTGGGGTGGGCTGTTGTGGACACCCCTTCCTGTCTCTCTTCCAGGGCCGGTCTTTGGCAGCAAGGATAACTTCATAGGGCTGGGCGTGTTTGTAGATACCTACCCAAACGAAGAGAAGCAGCAGGAGGTAAGTCTCTCCTCCCCACCCCATGAATGGTTGTGGAGGCAGTGGAAGAAGGCTGGAGAGGGGCATTGGGCTTCTCTGATGTCCTGGCTGGCCGTTGGAGCCAGACTTGGAAAACCGTTGGTTGCCAGGATGGTCTCAGCTCCAAATCTGTCATTGGCCTCAAGTGGAATGTGAATCCTGGGTGGACTGTTGGCTATTTGGTGCACTCTGCCCTTCATCCTCTATCTTCCAACTTGTACGACCCACGTGAGCTTGATAAATTTTCAGGTTGTTGGGAATAATGTGAGTTGTTATAGGGAAGGAGGGAATCCAGGCAGAATGGTGAACCCATTTCCCCAGGGCCTGGCAGTGACAGGTGTCTGGGCTTGGAGAACTGGGCAGACACTTCTCTGTGTTTTCATGCATAGTTTTGGGAAGGGGGAACTGCAGCCTGCGTGTGACCTCCAGTGCCCCACTTGCTGTCCCCAGAACCTTCTTGGAGTGGGTGAGACAGGAATAATCTGCCCTTGGAGGGGGGTTCTTGGGGGTTAAGGGTCCAAATTACTCCTCTCCCCCAGAACAGGACAATTTATTTCCTTATTTTGATGGATTTTAACTGACGAATAGATTCCTCTATCCCAGTGTTTCTCAACTTTAAGAAGTCTGGACTTCAACTCCCAGAATTCCCCAGCTGCCAAGGTTGGGAAACACTGACCTAATCTGTCCCAAAATAGAGCTATATTCGTACTTGTGAAATCATAAAACTGTACGGTGTCAGAGAAGGTGGGCGTACTTTTGCAAAAGTTAGAAGGCCAGCATTTTCCTCCTCGCTTCAGCATGCCTTCTGGGACACATTGCATTCCTGAAGCAGGAATCTCTCCTCCAGCCCCTCCAGTTCCAGGATTCCTTAGCTTTGTACCCCAGCGACATCTT